GCTGCCCCCATCAGCAGCACGCGTCGTAGTAGTTGCAGGCGCCTGCGATCTGGCACGAGATTTTCGAGCACCGCGCTCCGAAGCTGCAGGTAGTGGCCGATGGGCGCTCAAGGTTGGGCGTCGCTGAACGGGCCGAAGCTCCTTCACGGTCCAGGGTTTGTTCGATGCATGGACTGGCACTGGCGCGCGAGAAAGCAGATGGCGCCGAAGCGCGCCCACTGAGCCAAAAGTCAACGGTGGTGACGATGGTTTCGCACTCGTGGTCGCACTCTGGGTTCGGGTTTTCGCTCGTAGTCTCCGAAGTGGTCGCGCAGATGATGGCCTCGTCATCTCGAACTCGGTCTGCGTCGCTCGCTGCTCGATATACTGACGCGATGATGGTGCCGTTCGTCGTGCGCGCGTGCTCGATGTGCTGCGCGTCCGTGCTCGTGGCGTTGGCGGCGCCGATGGCGCTCGCGCAGTAGACGCGCGTGCCGACGAAGATGGAGGCCTTGCGGGGGCTCCAGAGGCATCGAGTTGAGGGTCCATATGGGTCTCTGGTTCGGGATCACGCGAGACCTCAACACGGCAAATCGGGCACTCCAGTTTTTCGGGCGGGCGGGGCGGCCACGCCTGCGCAGCGTTGGACCGAAGGCAGCGGCGAGTGGTCCAGCTCCTCAGTACGCGGCGCGAGCAATGATCTCTGGTACGAAAGACCGTATCACATCTCAAGCACTTGTTGTCAAGGATCAGAAGGCCGAGCACGCTCCTCATGGCGTGGGGTGGCTCCTGGCTGTGGGTCTGACGCGCTCGTAGTGCAGCGATAGAATGGAAGGTGCGGCCGCAGACGGTGCCTTCTGTCAGGGTGATCTCGCACTGGTAGGTGGGCAAGCCTTCCACGCCCGTCACCTCAGTTTCCGCTGGCAGAAACTCCTCCAAGTGGGCGCCGTGTGGCGGCCACTGTCAGGAAAAGAAACTCGCTCGTAGTGCGCGGCGGTCCACTGCAGTGTACATGTCGCGCAGCTCGGGATCTGTCGTAAGCCGTCGAAAGTCACGAGGTTGCCATTCGTGTCGCAGTTCGGTGGCCAGATCCAGCGTGAGGAGCGTGTCGATGTCGCGCGCCAGCTGCTTCGCCCACGGGTGGATGTTGCTCTCAGCGTTGATCTCGCCATTCTCCTTCAAAATGGGGACAATGCAGTTTGCGCGTCCCTCCACTGCGAGAGTGCCGACAAAAAAAACACGTCAGGAAGTGGAGGTGCTGCTCAATGCCAGTCATCATGTCGCGCCGCCAGCACAGGTGGCGCACCGTGAGCTCAAGAGCAACCGGTGCCAGCCGCCAATATCTCCACACGTGCAAGGTGGGCCACGATCGATGCACACCGCGTCGTTCTGAATGTGCGCGGCCTTCTAGCATGGAGCGCAGCTTGCCCACCAAGCTGGCGTCGAGGGCCTCGGCGTCGGCCCTCGTGTAGATGTAGCTCTCGCCGCCAGAGGTGGCCGCGCAATGAACGCACCCTCCGAAGAGAAGTCGGCGAGGACGCCATCCAGCGTTGGAGCGCCAGAACCCGCTCAGCTGATTCCACGCTCGGCTGATAGCACGCAATCGTTCGCGTCGCTCAGCGACGTTGCTGCCTGAGGCGGAGAACATGCCGCCGAGATGTTTCAGCTCAGGTAAGATCGTGCCGACGATCGCGTTGTCGGCAACGAGTGCCTGCGCAATGCCTCGACGCGAGGCGGCGATCACAATCTCCGCCTTGGTGCGATTCTGTTTGCATTCCCATGCTTCTCCGCTCTCGCCCAAGCACTCGGCGTCTAAGTTGCTGGCGTTGCGGATCTCCTCTGGGGATGTCTCGGGTGGAGACGCCAGAAGCTTGAGAAGGTCGTCAATGAATAGGCCCACTCCAACGTTCACGGCGTCGCCAAACATGTCGCTATTGGCAAGAGTGAACTTGGAGAAAGGGCAGGTAAGCTCGTTGTACTCGTCGATACTAGCGCAGTAGTTGGACATAAAAAACTCAGGCTCGTTGCTGTCCCCTATGAGTCCTCCACTGCCCGCGCGCAGATAGAGCCACTGCTGCGGTGTGGAGATGCGCGTGGCGGCCTCAGAGCGGCGCTGGCGAAGGAACCCGATGTTGGTGTGGATGCGGTCATGTAGTTCGTCAGGTTCGCCTTCCTGCATGTAGTAGTAGGTCGCGCGGTCGCCAGCGATGAGGTTCAGATCATCGTGCTTACCGCTCTGAAGGCTGATCTTTGGTCGTGCGATTTAGCAACGACGGTCCATCTGCATGCTCTGATTCTGTGGGCCACAATCCGTGATAGACACATCATACCCTCCCGTCGTCGCTTGCGAACTCCTCCGCGCGCCCACTCGGGCGGTCGAAAGGGGCCACCCTCCGGGTTGACAATGCGTCGATGGAACCCCCGCCACCAAGGACAAAATGTACGTAGTAGGCGTAGGCCAGGCACTCTAGGTAGTCCTTTCTTCTTGTCGGGGGCAAATGTCTGACTCACGTTGGCTTGGCGAGGGGCCCTCTGTGATGCGCGTGCCAACGCGTGAATCTCAATGAGTAGGGCTTCGTGATATGGTCCAGCGGTAGCTTCCTCTTGGTCGGGCCAATCGTCTCCTCGAAGTCCATCGGGTCAAACGCTTGAAATAATCCGAGGCCCGCCGTCTGTGCTGCTGGCTTGCTGAGGAAGGAGGGGTTGGTGGTGATCAGAAAAATCTCGGTCGGCAGGCCCCAACACGGCGCGAACTCTCGGCGTTTCATCCTCCGGAGATGGCGCCTAGTAGCGTCGAAGTCCTCGTCGCCCGCTAGAAGGTCTCGGACGTCGATGTGGGTGCCTGGTCCGTCATGTCGTGGAGGTAGTTGCATTCGTTCACCGTGCTTTGCGGCCTGCGGGGCGAGCATGGTGGCCGGGTAGGTGCCGCCCAGCGTGCCCGCGTTGAAACCGCCATCGCATCCTGGGACGCTTAGTGCTGCGATCCACTCGTCTGCTGAAGGCTGGCACGAAGGCAGTGAACGGAAATCTCTCTTACGAACTCCGATCCCCCGATGAGCACGACGTTTAGCAGCTGAATGCATGTCAGCAAGTCGACGTTCGGCCCATCCTTCTCGCATCTGCTGCTCCAGATCGCAGTCCTGGTGTAGACGTACTCTGCGGATGTGCTTGTGAAGGAGCTTTGCCAGGTGCTTCACCTCCTCGCCAGCTGCGCCCGAAGCGTCGCGTCGAAACGCCGAACGCTTGGAGGCGCCGAGCTCCGCGAGCAGGTCCAGTCGCCTCCCCGTCGCTTGCCTGCACCAGTCGGGGCGCTCCTGGCTGGGGGGGGGGGCGGGGGGGGAATGCTGGAGAGCGACCTGTCTGGTGACGGCGACGAGGGGGCGCATGCACCTGTCAGGCGAGGGGTCGGTGCGCACTTCCGTGAACTCCTCCTGGTACTTTTCTAAGTTGTCCTGGAGGTCCTGAAGAAATCCTTCCCGTCCTCGTCCTTCCTGAAGGCGTCGGCATAAGGTGGCCAGCTCCAGCGCGAGCGTACGGCGCCGTCGTGTCCAGGGCAGGGGAGCTGGAAGTAGCCGGCAATCGGGACGTGATCGAAGAAATGTTTGCTCTTGCGCGTCCGCCTTGCCGATGACATCCAACGGCGGCAAGTGGCGTCTGGGATCAGTGAAACTGGGGCGAAGATGTTGTCGATGGTAGTGGCACCGTGATGTCCGATGTAGGTGGCCCCGACCTTGTAGTGGGTGTTGAGCGCGCCCAGCGAATGCAGGTGCATGAGGGCGTGCAGGGCTTTTCCATTCTCGTTCTCGTGGCCATTGTCGTACTGTCCGATGCATTCGTCGTTGACATGCTTGTTGCCTATCTTGCCGGGGCCAGTGTTGGCGTCCGCGAGGATGATCAGGACTCTGCGAAAGGCGCATCTACGCAGAAGCTGGTCAATCCATTCGCGAAGAAGCTGACAATCTTTGCGCCAGCCTGGGCGTGCCCGCGCTGTGCGAGGCCGTGGCTTGAAATAAGCGACAATCACACAGAGGAGCAAGGGGCCCTTGGTGATGTCAACCATACCACCGCGGCCTGCAATGATGGCGGGGGGCGTCTCGATGGCCATGATATCGTTCGGACGTAGTCGTTCGCCGAGAAGAATACTGCATCCCGCACTTTTGTTCGTACAGGCTCCAGGTTGCCACGGGAAATGGACCACGTTGTGGTAGATCGTGCTCTCTCGGATATGCGCAGGTCTGGGGTCGCCTTGAGCGAATGCGGCTGGACGTCGACGTCCAATGCTTGTGAGCCCGCCGATCGCGATGCTGCGGTAGGCGACAGAGAGTTCCTGCAGACGGAGAGGCTGCAAGCTGCCGACGTTGTGCGTCAAGATCGGGAATCGTCGCAGCAGCTGCAGCGCGATCGCGCTCCTCATGAGCGCGGCGGTGGCGCGACCCCGCGGCACCAGCGGCAGGCCATGGCGGGCGCTCTCTGGGGAAGGGGCAGACGAGAGCGCCAAGCCGTGTCCCTCCTGGAACGGGCCCGAGCGGCTTTGATGATGACGATGATGATGATGATGATGAGGAGGAGGAGGAGGAGGAGGAGGAGAAGGAGGAGGAGGAGGAGGAGGAAAGGGAGGAGTCGGAGGAGGAGGAGGAGGAGGAGGTGGAAGCGGGGGAGGACCAGGCCTGCATCGCTCTCCGAAGTCCGAGGGTGGAATCGGCGGTGCGCTCGCCAGGCCAGCGCGGACCTTCCAACGCCGCAGGCCCAGCGGTGCTCGGGCAGTGCGTCTCGGCCGCAGGCGGGTGCTCTCAGCCCCGCGGCTGCCCCCGCTCCACCTCCTCCCCCGCTCCACCTCCTCCACCCCGCTCGGGCGCAGGCGCAGGCGTCCTCCCCCGCTTCCACCTCCTCCTCCTCCTCCTCCTCCTCCTCCACCCCCCTCCTCCTCCCTCCTCCTCCTTCTCCTCCTCCTCTTCCTCCTCCTCCTCCTCCTCCTCCTCCTCCTCCTCTCCTTTTCATTCTCGTCCCTGTAAATCGCTCCTTCATGTCCGAGGTGGTCTCCGGGTAAGACTCGAACTCGCACGCCTTGAAAACATACGCGAACGCCGCGAGCTGATCCTGCTGTGGGCGCACTCGCGCGAAGGGGGACACGCGACAACACCGCCCCTCCCCTCCATCCCATGCAACTCTGGAGGGGTAAGACGGCGAGAGGAGAGATCGATCGAAAGGAAGGAGGAGGGATGCATACCGGCGATGGCAGAAACGCCACGATACCTCCCAGTGTGCAATTGAATATCGTAGGGAGGGCGGAAAGAAGGATCGATGGAAAGGGAGGGGAAAGGCTAGGCGTGAGAAGAAGACGGATGTTAAAAGGGATGTGAAAGGGGAGGGGGGAGGGAGAGGCGTGAAGGGAGGGAGGGACGGGGAAGGGGATGGGGAGGGCAGAGGAGAGACGGAAGGGATGCGAGGGGAGGGAGGGCGAGGCACATGTATATACACATATATAGACATATATATACATGTATATATACACTACATATCTATATACATAGACATAAACATATACAAACATAGACATATATAGACATATACATACATATATACATATGTATACATATACACATACATATACACATACATATACATATGTAGACATATATATATATATGTACATGTACATACATACATATATAGACATATACACATATATATATATATATATATATATATATATATATATCACACAAACTGCATTGGCGCTTCGCGCCATGCACCTCGGGCCTTGAAATTTAGCATGCAGGCCGAAGTCGCGGCGGAAGGGCCGGAAGGTAACATCGAACACATAACGATAACTTCTCGCTGCCTTGTCCGACATCGTCGTCATACTGATGCCAGTCGGGATCCGTCCCTCATGCATCCTCTTCCTCTTCCTCATTCTCGCTTTCCCCTGCGAATTCTCCTCCATCCTCCTCTGCTCTTTTTGCGGAGGCTCCTCCTTGGAGCTTCTTTGGGGCCTCACGAAAGTTTACAGGGCTTCTTGGGGCCTTCTGGAGGCCTCCTGGGCCCCCTCTGAAGGCCTGTGGGGTTCCCTGGGCCACCCTTCGTCAAACTCCGGTCTCCCTGAACGACCTGGTCACGATTTGGAGCGCGAGCGTCTTAGGGCCATCTTGGGACGTCAAGGGGCTCTCTTCGGGTCATCCTAGGGCCCTGTTGGGCCTCTGTGGGGGTCTCTTGGCCTGCGTGGGAGCCTTTTCGGAAAGTTTTGGCGTGTTTTCGGGTATGTTGAACGGTCTCGGACTCCTGGAAGACCGAAGAAGCGAGCATTCCGAA